AGTGTTGAAGTTGGATATGTGTGATTGAATTATCAATTTACTATAATTACTTAACCATAACTAATATATAACGGATATAAGAGAAGGTAAGAATCAAATATTTTGAAATCAATCATTTGTATTTTGTGTTAAAATTATTTATAAAACTAATTTTAAAATATAATTAATCCTAAATAATAAATAATAATACTACAGTAGGCTATGATATGATTTGTTTATCACAGAGAAAATAGTCTACTCTTTAATATTGTAATAAGATTGAACTTAAATTATTTTTAATTTTATTTTATATAAATTTTTATACAAACTTATTGATTAAAGATGTCATTAAAATTATAAAAATTTCATACAATTTATTCGTTCTGTTTTATTTTATCATAAAAGTAAAAATGCCTAAATTTCACTTTGTGATAATGACATATTATTTATCAAATTAAAAGTAAATTAATTATCAAGTCAACATTTCATTTAATAATAATAATACACATTTGTTAATTACAATATAATAAAATTATTTAATTATATGCATTGTTAAAAAATTTAACATTATTGACATATAAATATAAAATTTATATATCGTTGAATTATTACATATATTTTGAAAATAGTCCAATTAGCAATACTATGAATTACTTTAAAATTAATCTCAGTGATCTCGTAAAACCTAAACTTTATTAGGCCTTTTTCTCAGTGTCAATTCTCTCAGCACAGAGAGCTTCATATTTCAAGATTCCGGGATTTTTTCTCTGAATGAACAGATCATACACCGTTACGGAGCATAGAAGCAACCGCAGCGGAACGCAGTGTTCACCTTTCGTTTCTTCAGGTTGCGCATGTTTTTTCTAACATAATTTGAAATTCTATCATTTTACAAGGAATTTTAATTAACAGTAGAATTTCAAATTCTACTAAAAAAAATCCAAATTCTTTCGCAGTTTGTGATTTGCCCGTCGCTCTCGCTCTCTCTCTCGTGTGGTGGTTCATACCAGGTTCGTTTCTCTTCTCTGTGATCTATGTTTTCATTTTTGATTCCGTTAATTTGTGTTTAGATCTTTTGTTTTTCATTAGTGTCTCTCTGTGGCTGTGAGTATGCGGTGTCCGTTCGTTGTACTATATTTTAGACAAAGTGTCATAGTTCGTGTTGTGTCCGGTGTCTGTGGTTAGAATTCACAGATATCCCACGTTACCACATCCAAATCACCATAGTAACTTGATATTTAGTTTACCGAAATTCAGGCAAACGCAAGACAATACAAGATAGTTTGACATAACAGGAACCAGAACTTCAAGACTAACATATGATAGCATGGTCGAACAGATCACTCTAAGTCTTAACATCAAGTCCAGCATTTGCATGACGCACCCATTATTCAAATCCTTTTGGTCATATTCCCAATTTTTACTTTTGGTGCTGCCTCTGGGGTGGTCATGACGATACCAATTGCAAACAGCCTTATACATGTGTTAGAAGAACCTTGTGCATGATTTTAAATCAGTACAACAGCTCCATATAATTTGCTTGTCAGAAAATTGCTATGTAGTCTCTTAGAGCATCTACAATGGGAGTTGCTTATAAGCAACTCTCAATCACTTTAAATGGGTCCTACTGTGCCACGTCACTCATAAGCAACTCATACTATATTTTTATAATTTTTGCTCCAATGGAAATTGCTTATAAGCACTCCTACATTTTACAACTTATACTACACTTTTTGACACCTCACACTACATTTTATAAAATTTGGTACATTTAATAAGAGCTAAGCAACGTTGCTTGCTGAAGCTCCGTTGCTAAAAAAATAAGCAACTTTCTATGCCAGCTAGGACTACTCCAATGGGAAGTGCTTCTAAGCACTGGAGCTTATTTTTAAGGGACAGCATAAGCACCTCCCGTTGGAGGTGCTCTAAGCTATCTTCCATTGCTCTTAGCCCCTATTATTTTTATTTTTTTGCATTTTGGATTGAAGAGTTTTAATCAAGGTTATCAAATCGGGATTGGAGTTTTGAATCGCTGGGCTAATTTTTAGATCATGAATCATAATTTGTATCGAATCGTAAGATTTAGAGACATTGAAAAATTACTTATCATATAGATGATATATAGTGTTCAATGTAAAAAACTTAAACTAGAAATAGATAAAGCAATGTCTTGTAGAAGAAAATAATTATAGTTATACATGAGTTTGTGAAACCTTTATTTTAGAATAATGGAAACAAAGCAAATAGAGGCTAAATAGGTATATGCATTGAATGAGTGGGTGACAAACTGAGTAATGGAGTAATCAAATAGGGTAAGTGAAAAAGTGTTTCTTCAATTTCTTTTCATTTAACAAGTTAAGTTTATATGACTTTTCAATTTTTTCATGAGAATTAGTGAAAGAAAGGTCAAAAAAGAAAAAAAAAATGAATCTTTGAATCTTATAAATCGTATCAATGATACAGAGTTGCATAAATTCATTCATGTATTGTAAGATACAAAGTCATTTTAGATTCATCTTATGATACATATTGGTAGGTTTCTGATTTGTATTGAATCGTAAATCGTAAGATTCCGATGACAGGTTTTAATAAGTTTTTGGTTTATAGAAAAATAAAAATGGATTCATCACAAAGCGCAGCTCTTGGGGGAAATGGTGGGAGTGGTGGAAATGGGACATTGATTTCTCAAACTAATGACATGGAAGCTTCTGCAGCCGGAGCTGATGATCCTATGCAGAAGCTGAACCAGGTCAGCAACTCCATTCAGAAAACTTTGGGCCTTATCCATCAGCTTTACCTTACAGTCTCTACCTTCAATGCTGCCTTTCAAACGCCTCTCCTCCAGCGCATGTAACTCAGATCCTTTTCTTTTAGTGCATTTCTTCTTTGCTTTACTTTTGCTTCATGTTCAAAATTGAGCATATTTTACTTTAAATGTTTCAGCAATGGCCTTGTTGTGGAGCTTGACAACATGGTTAAATTGGCAGAGAAGTGCAACATTCAGGTCCCTATGGAGGTTGTCAAGTGAGTTGTTTGCCTTTGTATGTGCTCTTATAGTTTTCTTATGACCTAATGTAAGTTTTATTTTTTCAATTTTTCTCATTATTGTTGATTTATTGTTGGGTTTAGTTTAATTGATGATGGGAAGAATCCAGATGAATTTACCAAAGATGTTATAAACAGCTGTATTGCAAAGAATCAGATCACCAAAGGAAAAACTGATGCTTTAAAGGTCTATTCTTACTCTTGATTTTTATTACACGATGTAACCAGTTTTGTCTTCCCATATATTTAATTAGAAGCTTTAGTCCAACTTAGCATTTCTGTTTGGGCAGAATTTGCGCAAGCATCTTTTGGAGGAACTAGAGCAGAACTTCCCTGATGAGGTTGAAACTTTTAGAGAGAGTCGTGCTGCTGCAGCTGCCGTAAGTATTACGTATTTGGTCTTTTATTTCATTGTGGATCAGAGCATTACAAAAAGACCTTCCTGTGTTATTGGGTTGCTCCTAGTTTGTTGTAGGATCTTACGATCTCATGATTTTGTATTTTAACTATACTACTCTTCTTTCCTCAACTGAAAGTGGAAATAAACAATATCAGTCCAGAGAGAAGATAAATACATATATCATTTTAATGAAACTGAAATAGAAAGACAATCAGAAAAAGGACAACGCAGCTCTAAGAGGATTTACTAACGGTTGGCAAGAGGATCTTTATTTTAGCAGATTAATTCCAGATTGTCCATAAGCACATATAGGAAGGAAAATTAAAATTAATTTTTTGATAAGTTAAAATTTGTTTATGCATAAGCTTATTTCTAAAAACTCTCTTATAATAGTTTCTCCAAAAATTTATTTTTAACTTATACACAAGCTTATTTTAGCTTATATAAAAACTACTCTCATTTTTTCCTTCCTATTTCCTTAAGTATCAATAGAGAAGTTTATCCAAAGTCCAAACAAGTCCTCACTCTCTTGACTTGTGTTAGAGAGGTGTTCAAATAAAAAAAAAAATTTTGACACATTTCAGACATGTTGACAGTTGACACAACATTTTGCAGAGGTGTTTGTGCTTTACAAGAAAGAACTTGAAACAAATTATGGGTCTATTTACATAAGCTTCTTTAGAAACACTTCTAGGAAAAAAAAAAATAGGAAAGAAAACAAAATAAATTTCTGAGTTAAAACTAGTTGATGCATAAATTAAAAATAAGATTTTGGTGAAACTAATAAGAGAGAACTTTTACAAATTAGTTTATGCATTAGTTAATTTTAAGCTTATGGATTTATTTTTTTTTAATTTTTCCTTCTTACTTTTCTCTCCTAGAAGTGCTTTTGGAGAAGTTTATCCAAATAAGTCTTATTTCTAAATGCTTTCTACTCCAAGAAACCAACTATTAGGTTCTTTAATAATCCTCATCTAATCCTTTCCCATTCAAATCAGGATTCTTAAAAGTTAACCAATCCCACTCAGTTTAAATATGTTGGGGTTGGTTTCTGGTGCACTTTTTCCACGACTAAACCGAATCCTTGAGAGAGTTACAAGAAATATATATATTTTTTTAACATGAACATTGGCCTTATTATTGCATGCAGGAGTTGAAACGTCAGGCACAGAGTGTACTTCCAAATGGAGATGTGAGGGTTAAATCAGAGCATTGAGTGATATATTTATTGTGCCTCTGTTAGTCAACATTTTATGCATGCATTGTATAGTGCACTTTAGCTCTGCTTCCTTCTTTCTGCAGCTTGGTTAAATGTTGTAAATTTGATGGCTCAATTTTTTTGCTTACTTTATTTTAATAGAAAACTGCTGCTCTCTTGTGAGTGTGTGCTTATTTCAATGAGCTATTTTTTGAGCTTGAGGTGTAGGGGAAGTCTGAATTTATTGGTAGGGTAAGCTTTGCCCTTCTATTGAAAGAATGATTGTATGAGATAGCCAACAGCAGTGCTACTCGCAACTCTTGTTCTCTATCAAAATTGCCATCAACGTAACTAATCCCTGATGATTGTTCCAACAAAAACTGCTTCTGATTTTCTTATTACTGAATAGTGTTATTAGTTTTCTTAACACTGGTAAATTTCAAAGAAAAAGTCAATCCCATTCCAACGTGGATGTAATTTTCTGCGATTTGAATTATATTATTTTCGCAGACTTTAAGAGAATGGTGAATCTGTTTCTTCAAATTGACCGACCCAAAGTTATGTACTTCTGTTTTCCCCTGGCTATGATTTAAGATTAGAATACATGCATTAAGAAAAATAAATAACCTTTGTTCTTATTAGAATTATTTACAATTCTTTACATGTTTTTTTTAACTCTTTAGAGTTTTTTTTATTATCGAAAAATACTTATTTTTAATAGAGAAATTCTTAAAAATCTTAACTTTTTTTTAATACATTTATTCAATAATGTACTACTTTCCTTCTTTTTTTTAATTTTTTTAATGAAGTTGTAATTAAAAAATAAGAAATTTAACAAATCTAACAAATATAACATGCATCAAAGTTTTGCCATACGGATGATCATCTCAAAGATTCACCCAAAACCCTCAAAACCCAACATACGGAAAACCTCAAAATATACTAATTAAGCCATTAAATAAATATATCCAAACATATAATTAGTGCATCTAAATATCCAAATACTCTATATATTAAATACATCCACCAATGATCAAATAGAAACATTAATAGTACGACTCATTAAAGCCCAAAATCACAAATAAGACTTGGAAGTTACTCTAAATACAAGATTCAAAAAATGAAAAATGACTGCCCAACTCCTAATAAACTACAAAAAAAAAAAAAGAGCTGCATTAAGTTGAATCTGCTTTAAGAATAAGTTGAAATTTTCAAACTCAACTCAATTAGTGAGTTAAATACGTCGTCAATCTTATGGGTTGAACCTCTTTTGTCATTCTTATCTTGCATTGGAAAATTAACTAAACATGTTTTGCATTTTTTTTTTGTAAATAGTAAAATATGTTATAGTATGGATGTTCAAAACCTAACCAACCTAATCAGAAACCCGAAAATTGACTAAAAAATCGAAAACCGGTGAATAATCGAATATTTACAATTTAGTTTGATTTCTTGTTTTACCAAATCACGTGGTTCAATTCAATTCGGTTTGTGATTTGGGATTGTAAAACGAAACCAATCTGAACTGCAACTTATACATTAGTATATATATTTTGTTCCCCAAATATGTAGTTATGCCATATGTATATATAACGACAATGAGAAAGAGAAAAAACTCAGATATTTTATCGTTAACATTAATTTAAGTTTCTTGTGTTTTATCAACCAACAAAAATATTCATTAGAAACATTAGGCTTAATTTATATATAAAATCAATTAACTAAATAATCCAGTAAATCATATTTTAGGAAGAGGTCAACTTTATTTCATAATTTATTTTTGGAGGAATGTGATTATATAAAATTAAAACTTTTCATTGTATCTCCCACTGTCAAACCCGATAATATATTAATATTATGTGTCACCATCAAACTCGATAATGTGACCGTGTAGAAAATTATGCTTTCATTTTTAACATAATATTACATTTTTAGTTGACTTTTAAATTATATATTTCTAAAATTATAAAAATCAAATCAAATCAAATTGCAAAAATTTGGTTTGCTTTGGTTCAAATTTAATAATATATTCAACTCGTATCTCACTTACTTTTCTTATTTAATTCGGGTAAATTTTAAATAAAAAATTCAAATTAAATCACACCTCGAACACCCTTACCTAATACATACATATATCAGTTACGTAACTTGATAAAATGACTATGTTGTTTATGCTTCTCCTTTTTTCTAGACCATGGGTTGAGTCCTAGCATAACATTTTTGCATTGTGTTTTCTTATTTATGTACAACTTCTCTATAACTACATAAATTCCATATATGCGTCCATGTCACCATTCTAGCCATGTCAACATCTCCATTAAATATTAGATATGAAGTTAATAAATGAAACAAAATTATATATTCTTAAAAAATATGGAGAACAAAATAAACAATTAGACCTTGACACCCAAATTGCCCTAACATTAATTTTTTTTAACAATGATATTGATATAAAATATCTATTATAAAAAATAGTGATTAATCTTCATTGAAAATTATGAGGTCACACACAAATTAAATATTTTCCCGTCCTAACTTTATACTAAAGAAGCTAAAAGTACGATTAAACCAATTAAATAAAAAACAATCATACTCATCCAAATGTCACATGAAATCGATATCTAAAAATTAATCTGAACCAAAAGATATAAAATGCCTAGTAAATAGCGACACCAAATTAATGTAAGTTTTTGCTCTACAAAAATACCTTAATTGACAATTCTCTTTTTTCTTTTTTTTATGGGGACATGCTTTATCATTGATGGAAATACCAACAATTCACACATCATTGTTGCATATTCTGTAATAAAGACATGCAATACATTGCAGAACAGTTAGTCATATTATAATAGTGGGACTGGTCAAAATATTTTCTATAAAAATAAATGATTAGTTAATGACTGCTTCGCAGGTCGAAAAGGTGAAAGGAAATATAGATAAGATTATCGTTTCTCGTTGCTCCATTACTTTAAGCGAGAGGTGAGAACTGAACCCTCCACCTTATTTCTTACTATTCAACTTTAATTGGAAATCATGTATACAAATTGTATACAAAATTGGGCACTATAAATTATTATTACAATGCCATACATACGTGTACTGTGTGATTGCACGTCAACTTAAATGACAATGGCCTACCGTGTCAGTTTTTCTTTTATTATAAGTGTACATATCAAAGAATTATTTCATCAAAGGGCTTCAATTATTAAATGAAGCATAAAGAATATTATCTCACTCTTCAACCTTTAAGGTACTATTATATTAAACTAAAAGCATTAATGGGATTAAATGCCGGTATTAAATAAATATATAGGAACAAACATTAGGCATAAATTAATGCAATGAAGCTGCTTTCTCATCTTTCCATAAACAAAAGCCTGTAGATAATTTAAGGAGCCGCAATGTTTGATAAGCCTAAACAAACCAAGAGACATTTCCTGGGGCAAATGAAAAAAAAATTCAAAAAAAATTGAGGAGTTAATAATCTTGAATATTTCGAAACAACCTGAAGAAACATATATTGGTTGACAATTTGACACAAGACATAGTAGCTGAATAAGCTTCACCTGCCCTAAGGTCAACACTGAACATACACCATAAAGAAGCATGCACATGCATGCTTCTTTTGCTCTCAAGTTGTCCATGAACAAATGGCTAGACACAAGGAACATCTATACTTAGGAAATGAGAAATGATGAAAAAGAAGGGTGAGAAAGAAAATGAAAACTCATCAACTCTATGCCTTGCCATTGGGTTTTGGTGATGGTTGGGGAAACTGGTGGTGATATGGAGATGCATGAGTACCATGTGGTATTGATAGGCTCCTTTGCTGTTGCCCATTTCTGGTGAGCAATGCTCCTTGTGTTCTCCCATTTCTAGTGTTTGGACTTGCACTAAAGCGGTCAGCTTGCATTGTCTGGAAATAATATGATGAACTAGCCATGTCCTTGAGGTTTGGCAGAGGCTTTAAGGCTTCCACAACTTCACTCATCAAGGGGCGTGCTTTCGGATCTCTGCTAAGGCAGTGAGCAGCCAGATGAGCGGCTTTCTGAGCTCCTTTTATCGAGAAGTGACCTTCCAACCGAGGATCTATCAACCTGTAAAACCTTCTTCTCTCTCCTAGATGTGGTCTAGCCCATTCCACAAGGTTGTGTTCACCATTGGGCCGATTTTTGTCCATAGATCTTCTGCCAGTCAGCATCTCAAGGAGTACTACTCCAAAACTATACACATCACTTCTTGATGTAAGATGTCCTGCCACATAAATATAAATCTGATTATATAAGGATTAGACACAACACATGTTGGACTACATGCAGAATATGGTGGAACCACAAATTTATATAACATTATAACCATTATGAGAATGTAACAACTGCAATTTTAACATAAACCTATCAACAGAATTGGTCATGATGGGGAGAAACTATTGACAACTCAAGCAATAAAGGTCAAGAACATTGTACCAAGAGCAGAAATAATCCAACATGGTATCACATCCCAAATATTCTTGTGAATTTGGAGATAAAAGAAAGGCGATCAAATATGTAGTCAGATAGAAATACCAAAGAATGATCATACATTACTTCACTGATAAATAACAGCTAAATCTTACAAAATTGGACTTAGCATATCCAACTAAACTTACCTGTCATGACATATTCTGGGGCTGCATAACCATAGGTTCCCATCACTCGAGTAGACACATGGGTTTTATCACCCTCTGGACCATCTTTTGCAAGTCCAAAATCTGAGAGCTTAGCATTGTAGTCCTGAATCGTTATAATAATAGAAAGGTCAGATCAAGGAAAGAAGAGATAAATGTTATATCTTTTAAAATTTGGCACTTACTGCATCCAATAGTATATTGGAAGTTTTGAAATCCCTATATATCACTGGTCGTTCAGCTTCCTCATGAAGAAAAGCAAGACCCTTTGCAGCTCCTAGTGCAATTTTCATCCTAATAGACCACGGAAGAGGTAGGGACCCTAAAAACATAAAATTTTGTACATGAGAACGTAGAAAATGGATATAATCCAAACAAAGGGTATAACCAGAAGTTAAAGCTCCAATCCATATTCCATCCACATAAGAGAAAATCTTCCAAACTCAATAAAAAAATACAAGTGAGATGCTTTGTAAACAACAGCATGGATATTGATGGAAGCATAGAGGTGTAGATTAATTAGGCAGATCACTAGAGTAAATTACATCATATAAAACAGTAGCACATCCTTGCCCCACCCCCCCCCAATCATTTTATGTCAAAACAAAAGATTAGATTGACACCAAAAGTCCAAAACATTTTTATCTGGCTCTGTATTGGGAAGGGACCATGCTTCGCAAGAGACATCCAGCAAAATCCTCAATTGGATGTTGTAACCAAAATATAAAGGTGGAGTAATGATACAACTATAGTTGGAAAAGAAACAAGAAACTAATAGGTCAGAAAATAGTAACTTACTCCTAAACAAGTGATTTTCCAGGCTTCCCCGAGGCATAAACTCGTATACTAGCAACCTTTGATCATCTTCAATGCAGTAACCTATCAGTTTAACCAGGTTTGGATGAACTAGATCACCAAGATAATTTACCTCAGCCTGTCAGATGAACCAAACAAAAATTAAAACTTGATAGATTCAGCATATAATATCAACAAAAAAAAACACTTGAAAAAATACAAAAAAAAAATCAAACAGAATCCAAAGGATGAAAAAACTATATTAATAAAAATACAAACCAGCCATTCTTTATGACCCTGGAGCCCATCATGGTTGAGGGTTTTTACAGCAACAGTAAGCCCTGTGCCAGGTTTCACTGGAGCAGTTCCATTTTCTTCAATCCATCCCTTGAATACACAACCAAAGCCACCTTCACCAAGAAGACTTTCAGGCCGAAAATTTCTTGTTGCCAACTTAAGATCATTGAAAGTGAATTTTCGCAGCCTGGAAGCAACTTTAAGCTCCTCTTCAAGTTTGGAAGTAGATGAATTGCTTTCCGCATTACTAGTGGTTGTTGAAGAGACTACAGGGACAGTTGGTTGATCTCGACTTGTATCATTAGTTGATTTACTTTCAGCTAATCAGAAGTGAAATCGTAGCAGAGACAGGAAAAAAGTAATCAGCAGACGCAATAAGATATCATAAAGCTGGAGATATAGGTACCACTTCAAGAGTTATTAGATATATTAAAAAAACAAAGGGAATCATTGAAAATTGACGCATCTAGTAGATTGCTTGTATTGGATTCATATAGCTGCAAATTGGGAAAAACCACAGCCCATGACAATTTTTCCAAAAGGAAAAATTCAATGTGGTTCCCAAATGACTTCTGCAGGGGAAATACAAAAAAAAAAAAAAAAAAAAAAAAAAAAAAAACAAAAAAAAAAAAAAACAAAAAAAAAAAAAAACAAAAAAAAAAAAAAACAAAAAAAAAAAAAAAAAAAAAAAAAAAAAAAAAACTAAGAAGTCACTTTCAGTATGCATGACAAACACATACACTTGGAAAGAAGGTGATAGACCTTGATAGTCCCAACTTTACTAATTCATGAATGCAATTGTCTGATTTATGAAGTTGTCCCCAACTCAAGGAGGCAAAGGAAATCCCAGAAAATGATGCTTTGTGAAGGGGGACGGGGCAAAAGAATGAACCACAATTACTCCATTCAAAGTTCTCACAAAATCCTAATTAAAGAAAGCATCGTCGATATTCTAACACCACCCAGTCTTTGGAATATATTTTTATAAAGAAAGTTTTGAACACGCAGAAACCACGAGAAGCTCAAATTGGTTACTCTTAACAAGTAATGCCCACATGTTAAACTTGGTTTTGATGCCAACCTAAGTCTGACTAACAAACATAAGCTAAAAACAAATCACTAAAACATGTTCAAAGATGGAACCTACAAGAACATCATAAGAACAACAATTCCTAGAGGGAAAAAGTGGCTACCATAATTAGTGCTGGTGCCACTAACTGAGCTATCAACCTTGGATCTTGAAGAAATGCAGCTCCCGATGAACCTCAGCCTAAACCAACACCCAGTTTCTTCTTCCTCTTCGATATCCCCATCCTCTTTCTTCTTCTTCTTCCTCCCTTTTGATTTACACACATCCAAAGACTCCACCATCACCTTACCATTTTCAGCACCCAACCCCATTTAAAGCAAGCCCCAAAGAATCAAAAGCACAAATCATGAAAACCAACCCACCCCAAATCCCTAACACCCCCTACAATGCCCAACCCCCCACCACCAAATCCACCCTCGACAACCCCAGACCCAGACGATAAATTCCCAAAATAAACCTAAAAATCACAACTTTACCACTCAAAACCCCTCATAACAACAAAACCCAAAATACCCAGAAATTTAAAGTGCCGACACAAGGGGCAGATCACATGAACCAGATCACCCCAATCCCTCCAAAAGAAGAGAATCCCCCTGAACCCTAGATTGATCAACCCGTGGAAAAATAAAATAGAGTAATGCCAACCCTTTACCCGAAAAGAACACGACAACGTAGCTCAACTCAGAAAGCTATGGTGAAAGGAAGACACAGACATCTATCTGGGAGATGGGTCTGGGTTCTCCTCCTAAGTCCTATGATGCTGTGCAAGCTGACCCAGTACAACTAAGAACCAATGCTGAAACGGAAACGAAGAAAAAAAATGTGGAAAAACTAAAAATCAGATAATTGCCGGTATCTAAAAAAATTATGGATTTTTTCTCTCGCAGTAGATATAATAATATAATAATATATATATATTTTAAATGGAATATGGAAAGGCGGAAAAAGGAGCGTGGGAGTGTAGGGTAGGGTGGGTGCCCGAGCTGCCCGAAGGAGGAGGGAGGGTGACAGAAGAGTGGGTGGGCAGTTCGGGCAGCCGAAGAAGTGGAAAGTTGGGGCAGGAGAGAGAAAGAGATGGTGGGACCCACCAATGGATGGTGACGTGTCTGCCTTCGATCTCATTTTTGGCATATTAGCATTGCCAATTTGCCATATGACATATCATATGAAATCATGAATGCTATTAAAAGGTAAATATTATTACTATTATTGTTGTTCAGTTTCATTTTTTTATTTACTTTTAATTATAAGCGTGTTTGATTTATTTTTTAAGAGATTTAATTTTTAATATAAGACAACATCTTATTTTAAAAAATAGTAAATCCAAAATATTTTAAAATTATATATGTTTGTCAACATATATATCAAAATGCAGTATTCTAAGTATTTAGAATAATATAATTGAATAAGATTTTAATTAAAGTATTTATGTAAATGGAATCTTTATATATATATATATATATATATATATATATATGAGGGGAG